TTTTTTGGGGGGGGGGGGGGAATTTAGTCCTGAACCGTTCCAATATTAAGATAAAGATTTTATTACCTAGATTGAATGGTGCGAATTTTACGAGAGATCTTTAATTCAGAGGGGGAAATTTATATGGGCTTTGACAGGAAGAAGAAAATTTCGAGATTGAGCCCAACTCTTTCGTACATTAAATGGGCCCCAATTAAAATGGGCCTTAATAGTAATATTGGATTCAAGAAAAAGTTTTTTTTTTTTTTATTATAAAGGGTTGTAAAAAGTTTCATGGATACATACACACTCCCACGAACATTCAAACATTATGGTTCGGGTAAAAAAAAACATTGCAGAAAAGCCAATATCAAAGTTCTAACCAGATTTGTTATATAACCATTCTATTACCTAGCCATATATATATATACACACACACGCGCACAAGGAGCGTCCGGTCGGAGGGGAGATACACGTGAAATGACCTAAATGCCCCTGGAACCGGGGACCTCGATCCACTCGAGCTGAAGCTGGACCTCTCCGCACTCGACGTTCCTGAGCCTCAGGAACATGTCCTGAGCGATCTTGCCCTTCGACCACACGATCTGGCTCTCCTCGGACAAGCAGTTCTCCCTGTTCGGCTGCACCTTCATTATTACCGATCCTTCAGGGACGAGTCCCAGTTGGTGTCTGATCTTCACTGCTTCGAGAAAAGGTCCGATCTTGAACTCTGCTTCTCCCATTTTGTCGTCAGCCGAGAAGAGGTCCTTGTCGTACACCGTCTGCGTCCCAACAAGACATGAAAGCACAGAGTTCTTGTATAATGGATATATACATGCGATATATATATATATATATGTATATGTTTGGTTCAATGCCCTGAAGATATGGAAAGACAAACTTAATAGTGTGAAAGTAGCTTACAATGGTAACCGGGAGAGTGGGATCAGCCACGGAAAGAGTCAAGTCCTCGTTCCACTCGGGATTCACATTCTTTTTCACCACACGAGTTTTCAGCTTCTGCGCCAAAACAAACTCAAAATCTCACGGAAAGATGCTGAATACATCAAACTAAGAAAGAAATATAAAAACGGCGACCTGCAGAGATCATCCTAAGTCACCAAATCAAGTACATGTCAGACTTTACACAAGAACAAAACAAAACTATTGAACGACTGATGTCAGGGTCAGTCCAAGGAAACACAAGGTAGAATCTTTTAGATGAAATAAAACTATTGGATGTACAAAAGCAAAGATTCCATATTCCATTTTCATGGGTCACGGATCATGAATTCAATGGTGAGTATATATCACGGACCCACCAATTTGTATTCATATGAATTCTTAGAAAGTAGACCCTTGTTCTTATCTTCTTCTACATAATCATGAGACTCCAATTTAGCAGATAACACTTCCACAATCACAGACTTTTCCGATAACGTTAAAGATGATTTTCAAGTGGGTACAAAACAAACTCCAAAAGACTACAAATTCGCCAGTAAACTACAAATTCAGTATCCTAACTCATAACATGGTTGGATAAAATATGTTTTTCCCATCAAAATCTACAGGCTGAAAACCGTGTTCATTTACTCACTTGCATCTACAATTCGGTGAAAACCCCAGGTGATTAGGATGGGGATTATACATCCGAAATAATAACCCCTACGCCTCGTTGTTGAGATAAAAAGGCGATAAACGAAAACTTGGAGCACAACGAAGAAGACTTGCGGATAAAGACTCGGATTACTTCTTCTTGTCCCCACTATGTTTACTCAAGAACTCACACTCTTGGCAGATAAAAGGGTTTTCTCTTCTACTGAAAAAATCTATCCTTGTTTGATGGATCCTATCAGCACGACCTTTTGACTAGATTTGACCTTCTGTTCCAAGAAAGGCACTGCCAAACCCGATTGACCCATCGAGCCAAAAATCTGTAACTAATACTGATGATATACACACCAAGACATCTATCTCTGATCATTTGATCAAACATCATCCTCCCAAACCAGTTCAATGAAAAAGAAGAATCATCATCGAATTTGACCAAAGACCTAAAATCTGACAGGACTTGAATCCACCTTCCCGAGATCTAGACCATGGACAGAAAGCTCGAACTCGAGGATCAATGGGAAATCAAGCAGAAAAAGAAACGGGTTTCTGGGTTTTACCTGTTTACCCATACGAACGACGACATAAGGATCGCTGCTCGAGACATCTCTGATGGCGAGATTCACACCCTTCTTCACATGGAGTCTGAGAAGACCCATCAGATTATCCATCCTTTTGCTTCCTTCTTCAGGGAAAAGATCAAATCAAACAAAGATTTTGAAAAAACAAGTGGCGATTTCTCCTTCCCCTTTGTCTCTCTGAGTTGGCTTTAAAGTGCGTATGGAAATATGAAACGACCGTGTCCTGCGTTTCCCTTTATGTAGCACCTCACTCTCAAGTCATTCGCCTTTTTTACATACATACACACATACATACATACATACATACATACATATATATATATATATAACACTATAATATGGATAATAACATTATAACATGTTTTAACAGACCGCTCCTTCAAATGTGTAAGAGGTCAGTATTCTTATTAAAAAAACATACTATTAATGTATTTGTTTTGACCAAGTCGCGTAATTATTGTCGTGATCATCGTTCTTAATTTTAAATTAAATTATTTATTTATTTACATCGTGGCTAATGAAGGACTGAGGCAGTCATGAATCTGGGTTTGACTAATGGGTTAAAATTTCTAATATGGATTCTAACCGAAACTAAGACTATTTAGATAAATAAATGTAACTAATAATATATAAATATATGTAAATCAAATCTAATTTAGAATTTGTTTATATCTATTTTTTAAAATCAGATTAAATAGATTTCAATAATTCAATGAAAATAACTTTCAACAAAATAAAAAACATAACCTAAAAAACCAAAACAAAAACTCAATATGTACAATTTTTTTCTTCTAGAAATCGTGATTTTTGTTAAAATATGAATGTAAAAAATGCAGAGAAATGGAAATAAAGACTTCCGACAATTACGGGCACATGCATCTACTTCATGTTTGGTCCATTTCCAACTTCTCGCGTTATCATGTTCAGATATCATCTCATGTAGTCACACAATTTGGCATTATTAATATTGAATAATTAGTAACATGTAACTATTTAATTTAATACATAGATAGACACGTTTATGTTGGTGGTGGAAAAAAAATAATATTAAGCAGAGGTTTATGCATAAATGCAGATATGGTCAAGTTGACAATCTTAGGTAATTAATGACCATGAAATTAAAATACCAAAGATATGTATTTAGATATATATCAAGGAAAATAACAAAAAAAAAGGAGCTCCAAACCCCTGTCGTAATATAGAACGTTCTCACTATTTTTCTGATTTTTTTTTTATCCAAACACTTCCTTTTATGTAAAATATAAAAGACTTATTTATTTATTTTTTAAATGAAACACCCTTTATAACTCAATTTTTTTTTAAAAAAAAAGCTAGTTTGAATATTTTGTTTGTGTACACATAGAAAACATGAATACTTTTCAACACGTCAAATCATAATATGAAAAATTTCCTACCCCACGGCCTCTTTGTAAACAAACGTTATAGAGACTTTGTTAATAACCTCTCCCTCCGTATACTCTAAATTTTAATATAACTTATGACATTGAAAATGAATTGAATGCCTTCTCCATATGAATTGCAGTTTATATATATTTTTATTTGATATTTTATTTTCACACAACTTATTCAAAGTTACAGGAGGTAATTTTTTTTTAAAATTTTTTGACGAATGATATAAATATATGTAATTTTTATTTACGCGTCATCCCCTTCATACCCGATATTACCGAAAACTGCAAGCATCTGACAGAACTGAACCGAAAGAGAGCTAATGAAACTTACAAGAATGTCGTTGGCTCTGCGGAACGGGTCTCGGAAGATCGCTTGAGGGCTAAGATACAGAGACAAGATGAGGATTGATTGCAAGAAAACGAAACTAAAGAGGCAGGTCTTGTGAAGAAACTGGATGTGATGAGGAAAAATAGTAAAGGGCTTACACTATAAGATCGCTTCACTGCCTTCACCTGGAGCTTGCCCTCGCAGAAGCCATGTCGCCTTTCTTAGCGTACCCATCAACCATGGATGTATAAGATTTCACGTCTCCCTCAAGGCAAAACTTTCCAAGCGTTCACCAAGTCCCCGGCTTTTGCCAACCCAACGGTCAAAGGCATTCCATGATCTCACATTCCGGTGAGGCATAAGATCAACCAAACTCGACACGACATACACATCCTAATCAAACCCATGTCTCAGCATCAATCCGCGAACCACCGAGCCAAAGCTCGAACACCTTCGAGAAAGTGAAGTCATCAACTTCCGTAACACCTTCCTTCTCAAACACGTGCTTAAACGGATTTAACATTGATCCAAAACAGGAAACTACATTATCTCAGAAATATCATAAGCTGTAATAAACTCGATTTTGACATCTAAAACAAAATATATGGACAACCCAGAAAAGTTTTCATTTTTTTGGGTACAACCCATTAAGGATATAAGCCGAAGTACTAACCTTTAGCTCCTGGATCTGGTTTCTGTTCATCTCCAGAAGTTCAAGACATTCAAAAGATTGAAGCTGCAAGAAAACACAAAACATATCTCTCAACAATGATACTGAAATTCTGCAAATAATATTTGCTTACATCGAGACCTACCAGTATAACTAGTGCTGCACTCTCATCCCTTGATTTCCCGAGTTTTTGCTCTTTTCCCTTTTGCTTTTTTCAGCTTATACAAAAAGTCTTTCTCTATCCTGTGCGCCATTACAATTTTACAAATGATAATTTTTCTCTTCAAAAAACTACTCAGCATGCAGATAATTGACTGGTAATCATATGACCATTACCCGAGACTCGAATGCAACTATCGAGAAAAGGCAAGATCCCAACCTTATCGATTGTTCTAAGCACTTCTTCACTTTATCTAATACAGATAGAGCTTTGATGATATATGCTTTTCTGAACCGACTGGCATGAAGCGTTAACGTTGTTGCAATATGAAGCAAGTTTCCACCAATCTGTGAATCGCCAAAGTGGAAAAAGAGATGAAATACTGCATTTCTTGCATGAAAGATGAATAAGAAAACAGGAGAGGGAAGGAACCTGGATGTGGGTTTCAGGAAGAAGAGTTTTCCGAGCATCAAGACACCTATTCAAGAAACTCTTCGTGAATATATTCATATTCAATCCCCATGATTTTACCTCGAATATCCGATTAATATTATAGAGGTTCAGTGGAGGATACCTAACTCTATAGCATCATACAAATATAAGTGCAGAAACTCAAGAGCATCACAAACGATCTAATCAAGTATCCACTGCTATAACTTGAAAAGTTAATGGTTGCTTACCAAACATCTTCGGGACCATATGACTCCTCCAACATGCTGAGGGCTTCTAGAGACAAGGGTTCTGCTTTATCAAAATCCTTCTTAACTTTATATAACTCCGCCTTACAGAGGGAAAAGAGGAAAGAGAAAAGAAAGTGCAAATATCTATGAAATCAAGAAGCAACAATATATAGCTTTTCTAGATTTCTCTCTTGAAACATCAGATCTTGTATACACTAGAAATTCCTAAAACCATATTGAATCCTACATTCCATTCCAAGATTCGAGAAACAAATTGATACTAGATGCAACAGCTGCTTGAAAATATATCCAATCAGAAATCTTTACAAGTTAAAAAGGATATAAGATATTACAATTCTAATCGTGGAGTTTATGATACAATACAAGGACACATTCATGATCTGGAACATCTCTCGGATGAACACACAAGGCAAGAAGAATATCACAACATGGAAACAGAGATATATGCTGCTAAAATATTGCAGAATATTGCAGAATAACCCTTGACAGATTCTTTCCTTGTTTAACAAGATGTAAACGTTAGACAATTGTGTATATTAACCCTTGTACGATGCTCAATAATACACAGACAAGAATTGTTCTTCTTTATTACTTCA